TTGATCAAGATGTGAGAAAATGCTCTTGTGTCATTAATGACATTTTCCTGCTCAACATCTTTTGCATTTCATTTAATTTACCAATCTGGATTCTGCAATACCACCACAATGTGTTATTCAAATGTAGTCATTTTGTACAATGCCACACTGAATATTTGTTAATTTAATTGTTACTTATGTCATTTTAAAAAAATATTGCCTTTTTTTCAAGACTTGATACAGTGGCATTGAAGTGTATGCAAAAAATTTGTGAAACTCACATTGCACAAAACAAAAAAGGTTCAAACAGAGCATGAGTATGTCCATGTGACTATTCACAAAGTTTCTTGTACTTAATGTGGTAGAAAGCCTAGTCTATCACTAAACACAAGTTCAATTTAGAAAACTTCACCACACTGTTCTAATGCTCAACAAAACTGACCTGTTCAGTTCAAACAAATCAAAAAAGTTTATGATGTAGGTAAAATTAACACTACAACTCGCAGAAATTAGACACAATATGAATATCAAGTTTACCAAAATTCCTGTATCAACATCACCTGATACACAAATATGATGGAAAGAAACCATTTTTTCTTATAAAAGATGTAATATACAAACAAAATCAAGAACAAGATATCACAATACCAGTGTGACATGTATTCTCTGAACCCATGTATCTTGGCATTACCAGAAAATAAAATACTACAAACATTACTTTGATTCTTCAATAGAGATTAATTAAAGGCTTATGGCTAAAGAGCTTTCAGTTGCAGAAGGCATCAACTTACAAAGGAACTGTTTGAAAAATGATCCATTGTTCTGCTGAGTAGTAGTTGATTCAGAAATTAAGATTCTTGAACTACCCAACAATAAAATGAAAATGGTGATGAAGTCACAATTTATATTGGGGTTGTCAATACACTCATGTGTATTTTGGAGGAAACTGAAATGAAACTGTAATACAGTCTATTCCTAACAAAGAGCAAAACTGGCAGGTGTGAAATTTAGATTCCGGTATCAATTCATTTTCATTGTACTTGTATCTTTTCCCACTCTTGTTATGCAAATATCTCAGCAAAAATTTATATGAATTAAAAGATATTACACTGAATTGAAATTGCTTTAGATTCAAGTTATTGAAGTCTCTACAATATGACTTATTATTTGAAAATGAGCACCAATATACATGAATGTTCAATTTTGCAGGAAATGGTTGGGGATTAGTGTCCCCTTACAGAAGCTGTGATACAGATTTTCACAAAATGAGATATTTACCACCCACAGCCACTTGAAATTCATCAAGGGTGTTCAATACATGGTTCCAGTAGACCACTCGGAAGACAATTTAACACACTAATTTCATCAAGCAACAAATTCTAGTATTTTGAAAATCCTATCCTCAATTTTTGTTTTTCTTAATAAGTAAAATTTTAATAAGGAAAGGAACATGCAGTTGAATTGTGACAACAAAATGAACAGCCTAATCAATAACACATACCACTTCTTTACATTTATCTTGGCCCATTCTGTTTTGAGAATACATGTAGGTTTGAAGCACTATATTCAGCACGATGATTTTTTTTCTGTCTCTCATTCTATCAACATTTCATTTAATTAAAAATAAAATGTCTCTCTACTTTACAGTGTGTTGACATACAATACTGCCATTATCGTTAAAACCAACTGGAGTCATGTTGAATTCATTTATTAATGGAGGAATTATATTTCAAAACTTAAACTTTATCACATATCTAATTAATTGGAGTATATGTAATTCACATCCCCTTTAATTTAAATTGTATGTTTCTGAAATCATTATTTTGCTGAACATTCTGGATAATACAAATTACTCCTAGGCCCTCTAAAATTGCTAATTCTCAATGTGGCAGAATATCACAGGCATCAAAATGGTAAGATTATGTTGAAAGTTAATACATCATTACCATCTCGTGCCAAGACCTGAAAGAGTCTTTTCTAATGGGCATTATTAGACCCTGTGTAGAAAAATGTCACTTCCAGTAAGATCCTAATTATGAAATAAATTGTTTGTAACATAATTCAAATAATATGTTTTCTCAAAATGAAAAAAACCGACTTGCATAGTACTAACCAATGCATGCATATTAGTTACATAATTTCGTAAAAATTATTTCCTTACCATTGGTTGGCATGTCACAACTGATTTCATTTTACATAATTTTTACAAATCAAATGCATGTACTTTTTAACATTAATAATTACTAAGAAAATCACTAAATCCCTGACAAATAATATGATTTTCTAAATAATCACTTATCATATTCTTCTACCATTCCACAAATTTAGTTTCCTCCTTTGCTATTGAGATCAATGAAGAGTTTAAAGGCATTAACCATAAGCTTCCAAAAAATCTCTACAGTAGAACTTGCTTTTTGCATAAGAAATACATTCCCATGGTAAATTCTAATTATGGAGTAATAATAATGAAGATTTTTATGCAAAATGCTTTCCTAATTTTCTAGATAGAAAATTAATGAAAATACTATTTCATTCTGGAACTCATTACCTGCAATGTAATCTCAACAATTATTTAAAGATATTAGAAGTTTTGTCAATACATGAAGTATATGGAAAGTCCCAGACTCATATTTTACGCCAGAAGAATCTTGCAACAATATACAACATTAGATATGTGCTCACCAGGATTAATATCACTAAGCCTAACTGTATCACCTCTGCTCAAGAACATGAAAACAAGCATTCAATCTTTACAAATACCAAATAACTAACTACATTCACTTGTAAAACATTTCAATATCATGTCCAAAAAAATACACATCTGAATGCAACATGGATTCCCAATAACTTTTTCAGTATGAAAATGTCATCACCATATTCAGAGAAGCTGGAACTGACCCGGTATCTCAAAAAAATTTGAATCTTGATCAAAAAACCATTATCAATAAACGAACAATTATTGTTCATTAAGATAACTATTTTTCGAAATATGTTCTATGTATTGTACCTTACTGTATCCATTATCATTATGTAGCAGAATTATTTTCTTTAATGAACCATACAGCCAAACTAAGCAAACCTTTGATTTGGTCACAGATAGAGCTAAACACAATGATATACTTCTCAAGAGAATTAATAGTCCTGTCCTGTGATTAGTTTAACAATCTCTATTGTGACCGTATTTTTGCACAGCAGAAGAACCACTATTATGTTAAAATGAGCAACAAAACTTTTATACATTTTTAAATACAAACATTTTGTAAATGCACTAAATACCTGTAGTTCGGACATAATTTTTTATAAATTCAATAGGGATTACATACTCCTTATAAATACAAAATTACTAAGTACCAAATTTCACTTACATGAATTTCTATCTGCACATACCTTTGCTACAAAGTATGGAGCTTTTAATTGATACGTATATTTTCAAAGGGGTCACACCTCGGTTTAAAAGTTACAGTCAAATTTCTCAACAACTGTTGAATGTTAAATTGTAACCAATATAGATATTTATAATTTTTAAGCATAATAAAGATATATTTCATGTTCACTTGTAATCCAGACTTCATTTTCTTCAACTCATGCATACCGAAAAAATCAAACAATGATCAGAAATTGCTGTGTGCAGGCTCTTTTGTCCAAAGGCATGTTTACATTTCAGTCCAAGTTTCCATTTCCTTTGGAGAGATTCCAGAGCAACTTGCTTCTCGAGTTATTTGCCATTCTTTTTTAATGCAATTGTAATAAAGTATTAATCATAACACTAAATGCTAAATGATTGAATCTTCCAACATGAACAGTAAAGGCTTGCTCTTTTGTATTATGACTGAAATTCACACTATCACATGTATTTGAGAATTTCTAATGATCATATAACAGAAAATTTGAGATCAGGTTGTGAATTAATATGCTCAAAAATGTATTTTGAACCATACAAAGTATCTTCCTGGTCTACTGGTGGCATTTATGTATTTGAAATCAAGTAGAGTCTCATTAAATGTGGTGCTGATATGGCATGTACATCAAAGGTTTGCTTTGTTGGGTAATATGTTGTAAAAGCCATCAATCAGACAGTACATCCGATACTGATGCACAGATAGAACCACAAACAACTAAGAAAACATTGCCTATTTGAAGAGAATAATAAAGGTGAAACCTCGATGCATTGTTCTTTTCAAATGAAAGAAAAACATGAATAAAAGCAATCAATTTTTGAGAAAAATGTTAAACAAAATATAATTTGCAATATAATGTTCATATTCAGAAAATGTGTACAACTAATCATTAATTTTAGAGATAGGTCATAAGTAGGGACAGAGGTACTCATTCACAAACAAATATATTTTGATTGATAATCACAAAACAAATAAACCAGCTTTCCCCATTGTTCAGCATAGTTTTGTGTTAACAGAAAGAGCACTTATTTTAAAACACAACTAAGTTACATCACACTAAACAAATAATAGCATTGTTCACCAAATAGTTACAGTGGACTACAACACACCAGCATCTGTCGTCCCAATCTTGACAATATGCACTTTCAGCATGCTAAAACCCACATCTTCAATTCTTCCTCCTTGTAGCTATATTTGTCCATTGATTTCTTTTCCCAATTTTTGTAAACATTAAAAAATTACATGCTATCTATTTATCAAAAGTGTCAGTCACTTCATTAACATTTAATTTTGATAATCATTCTCTATTCTAAGCAAGAATTGTCTTTACTGATGTTTTTGTCTAGTCACTGGATTCATTTCAAAACCCAGAAGCATCTTTCAGAGTATTAAAACTGTCGTAAATACTGTTATTAAAAATGTTTTGTGAATTTTCAATAAAGCTACAAAGTTGGGTCTGTGACATTCCCTTTAAATCAGGGGTTTCCACATTTTTTTTTTAATGTTCTCCTTTGCAAACATTTTCTGAAGCAATAAGCCTTATTTTGATATTTGCTGTGTTAAAACTTACTGCTTTGACTTAGGGATTCCAGTTTAATTATAAACACTTTCCATGCCTGATATTACAGGAACTACATTTGTAGTGCTTAAAAATGCTCCAACTACATTTTTTCACTTATTTTGGCTATATACAAACTTCTTTTGAAACCAACCAATTTACATTTTTCTGACCTCTTTGTCTGTGAATGTCAGTGGGCTAAAATCCTAGTTCAAGGACACTGAAAATTAAAAGCACTCTTAACCAACACTAATTCTATTATTTTCAAATCACAACCAAAACATTTTTTTGTCTTCAAGACGTCTGTCTCTAAGCAAGCAATAATTTCATTAAGCAATATTTAGTAATTGTCAGAATAAAGTGAATGTAGTGAATGTAGAGCATCACATAATAAGCACAGAAATGCATCAATATACTTGAGGATCGTACATGTCCTACACTTTTCACTGCTTCCAGGTTTTGTATGACAAAAGACTCATATAAATGTTTGTGTTAACAAAAGCACCAATAAAACAGTTTAAATCAAATTTATTCTGGAAAGTTTTTTCATATCAATTTATACTATTTAAGACATTATAATGCCTATTTTCACCTTTTAGAAGCACATTTTAGATGCGTAAAATGGTAAGTTTTGAGGTTTAAAACTCCAAACAACATTAATCTGAATAGTATGTGTGTTATGTAATTGCAACCTTGCAGAGATCATGTATGTTCTGAAAAACTTTGGAAATGAAGATTTATGAAGATCTATTTTAGTCTTGGCAGAAATGAACTTCAAGCCCAATTGTCTCATTCTGAGAATTAGGAACACAGTTTTCAGACAGCACTGAATTGGAAACATAAGTCAAAAGGAATGATCTACTGACTTCAAAAATAGGTTATCAAACCTATTAAAATAGAAAACAACTAAATTAATACATCTGATTCAATGGAAGTTTTCCTTCTAAAGTAGCGTTACCCCCATTACTCAGTCTTAAACAACTTGGTGACCAATCACATATTTCAGGAGTGTACACAAAATTTTGCTTTAAACAATTATCCAAAATCAACTTCAAAGAGTATAAATTATCACTTCTTTTTGAGGCCAGTTATCTCAAACACTTCCAAACCTTGCTCTCTAAATACTTTTAGCTTTTTAGCAAACATGCATGTCAAAAATTGCAGGCACAGCTCAGGACAGCAAATACTCTATACATGACAGTGGCATTTCGTTGTTGAAGCATAACACTCTGAGTGCATGCAGAAACATAAAACGCAAATTCATGTTTGTTCATACAGTATGAAATGTCTTGGATGTAGTGCAGCGTTGCCATAACTATTACTAAGATATCTCTCTATCAGAGAGATTGGAAGAAGCATATAATAGTATTGATGAAATTTTTGTTACATATGCTAATTTAGATTTAAAAACAAAATGAACCAAAATTCACAGTGAATGCAACACTTTCAAGCAGCCATTAATAACTCTGAATACAAAATTTGAATGGAGTTCAAAGAACAACTACTACCTAAAATCATAACTATTGGCAATATAAATCCCAAGAGAAGAAAGTCAGTTGTGAGACATTACTTAGAAAACATCAAGAATTTTAGAACCACACTGCCTCAATAACAAAGTATTCTGATCTTCACAATGGGAAGGCACAATGCACTTTCATTGACAATGTGTTTTTATAGAAGAATACAGCAAAAAATTGCCAAATCTATTAGCTGATAAAATAAGTTGAAAAATGTTTTCTCCCCACTCTTAATACTACAGCTGGTGACAAGTTGCACAACATATTGACCTAAGAGCCACAACAAAGAGTTACTTGTGTGTGGTCATGGATGGGCCTATATATATATATATAGGCCCATCAAAAATCTTTGTGTGATGGAGTAGAAGAACTATAGTAAGTGCCATGACGGCTGCACGTGTGGGTCTAGTAAGCCTTAGCTGGCAAGGGCAGTGTGTAAAGCAACGAACAGGATGGACAATATTAAAAAAGTGTGTGTGACATGAAATGAAAGACAGTAAGGATTGGATTTAAAAGTACACGCAAAATCCCACATGTCCAAGTGGAAAAATTGTGTCTTGTAGAGATACATACAAAAAACACAAAGGTAAATATGGAAAATAAAGACATTCAACTATATATTTACAAAAAATAAAACATTAACATAAAAGATTTTTTCGAAATACATTTTTGAACAAATTTTCCCATTCAAACCCTTCAAAAATATTTAAAATTTTTGAAAACATTGTTATATTTCAATTAACATACGTAAGGGCAGAGCAGATGTTCTATTAGCATGTTAAAAAAATAAATTGGTATCAACTTTGGGTGTGATTTTTATGTAAGCAGTACACAGCACTGTCACTTAGCACTCCAGAAGTCTAAGTAAAAACTTCCAGCAACAGTTATAAGAAAAAGGTTTGCAGTTTTTTCATCAGCACTTAAGTTTTTGTTGAGCAGTGCAGTATGGAAGGAGGTGCACACACAGAGAAAAATGTAAATTGAGACGAGGACACATTTTGTTTATTGTTCGTTTGCTTGTTTATCATAAACGAGAAAGGGCAGATTTAAAATAATATTTAAATGGTCAAATTCTGGGAATTTCATGATCTGATCAGTAGATTTTTGATGAAAGGGATGTGAGTACAGTTACTGGAGAGCAGTGGTAATCAAAGAAAAGTATTCTCTCTGTGATCAATCGTAATGAGCGTATATAATAGAGGGATCAAAATCAATGACAAGAAAATTGATAAAATTAAGTGACAAACGAAATTTTGTGTGTTTCAATACTTAAAGGAAAAATTCAGAACGTAGCCAATATTTCACTGTCAGTGAAGTCTGATAAATAACTAGTATTCAAAAACTTCCATTATTTAGACAAATATTAATCAGAAACAACAAATCGCAATCCTGAGCATACAAACTAAATTGAAATGTAAAACCTGTAAGGAAGTGAAATATAACAATGCAAATACACATGCTTCAGGGCAGTATACTGCAAATTTCATTTGATTTTATTTAAGAATGCTCCTGCAACAATTAAGCATAACATTAAAAAAGTCAACGCTAATCTAGAATTATTAAATACAAATATTCATATGGTTGTACCTTATTGCAGGAAGCAGGGTTTGAATTCGAAAAGTGAGCATTATTATGAAATTAATTTTGTATTTTAAAAGAGACTACATGTGAAACATTTACTTACATTAGGTATTTATTCCTAACAAAAATAAATATCAGTAACTATCATCATCATCATTAGAAGAAGAAAAGATGACAGCAGAGAAGAAGAAGAAGAAGAAGAAGAAGAAGAAGAAGAAGAAGAAGAAGAAGAAGAAGAAGAAAAGACAAAGGAGGACACAGACAACAATGACAGTGATCGTACATGGTTTCAAAGGATACAATTTGCTTTTAGAAGACACATTGTGAAAGTAGCTCTAATTTCGATGATTAAAGAGTACCCACAGGCAACATTAATTCTCCACGAGACACAGGGTTCCTTCAGATCATGAAAGGTATAGTAGAGAAGTAGGTATGGATCTACCCACTATATGAAGAGAAAAGATGAAACCCATCAAATTTCAAGCATTGAATACTATGAAATAGCAATGGCAAACTCCACAATTCTCAGTAAGAAAATAAATTCAAGAACAAAAGTCAGGAGTATTTTCAGAACATACATTATCTTGCAGCATTCTGAATGTGTGCCCAGTTGTGTGTGTCATTGTTTGTCACCTCACAAGCCGGAATTTCTTTTGCAAATCGGAGATGAATAAGTGTCTTTTGTGTGCTGAATTCAAATCTACAAACCACGCTTTTGTATCACATCAGGTTGTTATACAATGTGAACTGAAATATTGAATATTACAGAAAATATTTGTTGACCACATTAAATACATAAACATCATAATTCAAAGGTTTTGTAAGTGCAAGGTAAATTTAAAAAAAAAATACAACTTAAAAAAATATTTTCTCCTCTTCATAAAAAATGTTAGTTGCATTGGAATGGTCACGCCCCATTTACCCTGTTACTTAATTTCCATTTGCTTAATGTGATGGTGAAACTGTCTTCATTGAAACATCCAATATTATGAGTGAAGAAAATTTAGTTTTAAACTCTTATTACATTAAATCGATGAAAATGTTTCAAAAAAATGTATATGATCCCTTCGTATTGTTTGCTTTAACATTTCCTAGAAACTTATACAATATCCCTTCACATTCTCAAATAAGTGTAGCCTCAAGTTCTACATTTTAAATAAGAGTTTTCATCAGTTGGTGGAACAGGGGATAAAAAGGTTTTTCGAAGTTATATTCATATTTTGCAATTAACTAAACACTTACATCCTTGTAAATCCTTGAACTGAAAATGATGTCATTGTATGCCCTACAGTATTTCATGCCTATAAAAGGGCAGTTAAAAATGATAATTTCCTATACAATTGGATATATCAGTTCCCACTGTATCAAAAGCTGAGCAAGTGAATATTTAGAGTTCCGAAGTCAATCTCTTCATCATTACTATCATGAGTGTAGTGCATGTTACAAGTGTGAGGCGGCTGTGTTCTTTTTTGTTGGCACATAATATCTGGTGTTATCCTACATATCAGCTTGTGGCCTTTCTTCCTCAAGATATCTATCTTCCCCTGCAGAAGCACTAAGCTCCGGATGATCTCCTGACTTGTATGGCAGTGTTGTGAGAGGAAGTGGAAGAGAGTACAGGAAAGGAAGATCATATGTAGATCGTGGTCTGATTGTTAGGATACCGCTCTAGCATTCACCTAAGTGTGGAAAATCCACCACCATTGGGACTTGAACCTTAGGACCACCCAATCAGAGACACTGCAGCAGCAAAGAATGTGGCCACTGAGCCATCTTAGGCAGTGTTTCAAAACTTGATGTGATATAGAAAAAATTGTTAGCACATTTGAAGTCAGCACTCCATAATTAGACTGTAATCACCTGTCCAATCTTCATCTACAAAATCATGGCAACGCAGAGGTATTTCCCAATAGATTTTGCACCATGGTTGAAATATTTTCTCCATCAAATCAATGAAAAAAATTTGGAAATAAACTCTGTATTAACAGAATAAAACTAAGATAGAAACCAACATAAAGATGGAAAATGGGAAAATTTGTAGGAGTAATCTACAAGTAAAATGAAGAGAAAAGGTAGGAAAATGCATTGAGATTTCACTTAAATTTCAATACAAATCTTCTAATTGTTAAAGAACATAGTGTATATTATACTTCTCTCATATGTTTACAGACGAAGAAGAATAATAGTCCTGCCAATAATTCATTACAAAAGGAATGACATAAAAATTAAATAATAAACTGTACCAACAAGAACTGAACAACGACTGAAGATAAGCACATTACAAATTTATTATAGAAAACGTACACAATTTCTGAAATATTCAGTGCAAAATGCCCATTTTGACGCATCCAGTCTTTGAAGTCATTTACAGGGTACACACTGACCTCTACTTTAAGCTTTGCATCCCCTCCTCTTTGAAATACCAAAGAATATGAATTCTACACAGAGAAAGCCTGCATAGAAATGGACTGGATGAGTTGAAAGGTGCATTTGTGTGCACCTAATCAATTTGCTGAGACAAGTAATAATAAAAAAAAATAATAATAAAAGAGAGAGAGAGAGAAGAAAGGAAGAAGAAGGAAAAAAGAAGAACAGAAAAGAAAAAACAATATTACAAGGAAAATGGTATCTCTGCTCAAATTTGATGAGATTCTGATACACTACACAAAATATGATTATAGTGTACAGATACTTCCTACAATTAAACTTTTCTCTACCCTGTGAAGTATCTTAGTAGGTAACAAACCAAGAAAAAAAATTTCACAACACAAGTTTCACATTTTCTTATTTTCACACATGCCCATATTATCTCTATACACATTCACACCATTGAAATGGTCACGTTAATACCCAAATTGCCATTATCAGCAAACAACTGGGCAATACTAGTGTCAAAGACCAGACAATCTGAAGTCAATATAGCTGAAGAAACCCCTTCATGGATGGAGCGAGGTGTAGCTTCCCAAGTCAGTCTTCTGCGCTGCCCATTTAATTCTAACCTGCAAAATAATTAACCATTAATTTTGATAAACCAAATACTACAAAATTGGAGGTAAGTAATTCCATTCTTTATGCATATTTTTTGTTAAAAGAAGAATAACTACAATTAATTTACAATACACAAGCAAAGAATGCACATAATAATTATGTGCATTCAACTGTCAAGCTGGTAGCCTCTGTCAACCTAACAGTCACCACAAGTACATTACATCTATGAGGATAATAAAACGTGATTATTTTTTCGTTGAGTAGTAACAATTTCAAAACACAATCACTATTAATTTTCTATGACTACTTCGTAATGGAGACTTCGTTAAATTAAATTATTAATTATTATATTTTGACAGCCAAAAAATGAATAAAATGAACTCTGCTAATATCTGCTAAGTGTAATAAACAATGTTATTAAATGTATATGAATTCAGAAATGGTGAAATGCTTCTAATTTCCAATTATTATTTTCTTGTAGGAGAGGAAATATCCACTTAAACATTCCACAACTTGTGTAATTAAAATGGACAAGTTTGCTCGTACAGAGAATTACCCCAACCTTATATAACCAAAATATGACAAAAAAAACATTGTATGTTCTGTACACTATATTATATTACACACTAGAACTCCCAGAGGTGTCATTTCAACACCTGACAATCATTATGACCTCGCAACGTCTTTGTTTTCAAAGATAGGATTTTGTAATTTTGAGACTTTTCATCATTTTTATTTATATATAGTATGTTAAAAATTGAAACGCATAAAAATATATTTCATGAACACTAAGGGAATTTACCTAGAATGTCCGGGAAGCGTCATTTCGACTCCTTGAGTGGACACCTCATTCCCAAGCTTTTGTTTTGTATAATTCAACACTGAAACTTTTTAAATGTCTCTCCTAGTATTTCGAATATCTTTAGAAGAAATATTCAACCATTCTTTCCTTCTTTGTTTTTATTTTCTAGGCTTTGTGTTCAATACATTCAAATTCATTAGTTTTGTGATGGTACCAAATATATCACTAAGTTGCAAAAAGAAATTATTATCAAATGAAGGAATAGCATTGTTATTACACAAAAGTTGAATGAAAGAAAAATATTTCTTCAAATAATTCAGAAAAAGAGAAATGATCAATTATAAAAGAAATGTTTGTGTTCCAGAGGGAACTTCGGACTCCAGATGGTAATGTTGTGGTCAGATATTCTTAGTTTTTTTAACACTGTCTTGTTGATTTACGAAATAATAAGAGGGATTTTGCAAAAAAATCAACAGCAAATTTCACTGCTTTCATCTGAAAAATTATTCTGCTTTAGTATGAAACACACGAACCTTTACAAATTGTACTAATATAATGCTTCAGAGGAATAGAGTTGATATGCTAGCATTTACCTTCCAAACTCAATGTATGTAGAATATGTTTCATGACAGTTCTTGGCACGAACACTGGTCAAAAGCAGTAAACAATTGTGACTTTTGGAAGATGATCACTAAAATCTTGAGTGTCAATATTTTTTACATACAATGAAAATATTGTGAAAGTTTTGTGAAAAACTAGAGGAAACACCTAGAAAATGTAGCCATGAACAACGCGTAAGGATAAGAAGCAGGTGTTGATCGAACGTATGCAGTATTCTACAAAAAGTGCTCCAAAACTGTAGTGTACAAGTCATAACAGTTTTAATTCTACAACTATACATATTTATACTCTTTATGCCTAGTCAGGTGAGAAATGTAGAACATAAATACAATAAAAGCCCATACAAGAACTACAGCCATTTGAAATACGCCATTAAATTAATTTTAGAACTCCATCCTCTAACACACATCAAGTTCCTACCAGTGTAAAACAAACATATGTGTAAAATATTTTAAATAAATTCGACATATTGCGATATAGTGTGAGAAGTGCCTTTGCAAATATATACTTTGGGGTCACATGTGAAACTAGTATTATTTAAAATTAAATGTTTATAACATTTTTCTATTATTATTATTATTATTATTATTATTATTACAAAAATATTGTTAGCACTATAAAATAAACTTTTCAACAAAAAAGTTTGCCTGTTTATTTACAGATTACGTTCAACATGTTTCTTTAATTTCAATTTTGCGGGACAGTAATGATGATAATTCTTTCACATATAATTAAGTTGCGGCATACTTCTTCTATTATACACTAAATTAGTTTTTAATAAAAGTTATAGCGATGTAGATAAATATATATAGTACGGAGTTGCTCTACAGCTGTCGCAGTTTCTCCGCTCTCTGTCTCCATGCCTCTCTATTGGACCATAGATCATCTGGCATTTCTCTTGCCATCATAGCCTCTTGCACT